GAAACGCACACAGACAGTAGGTTTGTCGGCTGAATGTACAGTGTTAGACCAGAGGTCTTTAATGTTTTCAGGCCAAGGAAGGACCCCCACAGAGACCACCCACTCCGTACAGTATAGAACGACAGGGTCTCGTGTACGTATGGCCTGTGTCTCCTCTACTGTGACAGTGCTGTGAATATATGTAAATCAATTATCTTGCTTGTAAAAAAGAAAGTTAGAGCTTGCAGCCTTCCTTGTTTTAGTCAACTCTCCATACATGTGTGGTCTATGGCATTGTTTCCCAGAGACAGAGACTCAGGTGGGTGGCAAAAGATACGACATCAAGAAAATGACTGGGTGTCTGTAGTCAGATTTGTTTTGAAATAAGTAAGCTGCTTTTTTTCAATGAAGATGATTTCATTACTCAAGCAAAATGAAGTTGGAGTGGCTGTTAATAAGCTGCAGATTAATACTATTAGTTAATGTAGACTGAAAAAAATCAGAGTGAAGTACAGGAACACCAGAGAAACTGGAAGAAAAATATATGAGAGAAAGAGAGAGAGAGCGTGAGCGAGAGGGTGAGCGTGGCGTGAGGGAGGAGTGTGTTTCTGTGCACTGCATTGCAGACACTTTTTGGCGCCAGCAGATGTGCCAGTCTGCAGATATCCAGTGAAAGAGACAGGTGAAGGCCTTGAGGCTCTCCTCACGTCCAGGACCATCACCTGATAATCACCTGATGTTTAAATAAACAGTGTCTACGTGATTGAGCATCAGACAGCCCCAAAACAAACCAGTCTTACATAATCTTCCAGTTAGCCCCTGAAATATGATCACTGTCAGAATAAATGAACCAAAACACAGACATGAGTTCATGCAGTTTGTGACCTTGATGTGTGAGAAACTCAGTACCTAATATTTCAAATGATCTCCCATAATGGAAGTGTGAATTATGGCCTTTTATCTGGTGCTGATGACACGCTGCTGGAGTATTTTTAGCAGTGTGAGGTAACACATGTTAGCCCTCAGCCTTCTAATGACACAGAGAGGAACAGTGCTAAGAGGATCCTGTCATTAGTGGCTGTATTTATAAAAAGGACAGATGTTAAAGGGACAGTTCAGCTCTTCACAGGGATACACACAGATAAGTGAATCTAATTGTAACTATATCTCGTCTCTTGGATGCGCAGTCGTTCTTCTGTCCCTCTAAGTCCCATATGTCAAAAAGATGTTTTACATATAAACCATACATGACTGTGAAGGTCCGTCCGTCAGTTTCCTGCAGCTGTTCTTCACCGTTCTTCCCAGTCAATGTTGGCATGTTGCTGAAATATTTATCGTCTCCACTTTTATCTTTGATCTCAACTTTTTCCAGTTAGTTCCAGAGTGTTAGTGTCACAGCTCGTCTAACTTTCCGTTTCATGTAACCAAATGAGGCCGTCGACAGAGGTGGGTTACGTGACCGGTGAGACACTTGTCCTTCTGCAGATGCAGTTGTTGGTGAAACAAGATGAATAAACACAGTGGTTTCTTTAACCTACAGTAGAAGTACTCGTATATACACAGCTCATACTGATCCATTTCTGTCACAGCCATTTTTACACTGGATTCCAGCAGACACCAGAGACACTTTAACAGCCAATCAGAAACTGACTGCTTAATGAAATCCTCATGAAAATCATTATAGAGACAGAGGGAGCAGGAGTCAGAGTAAAACCAAGTTTGGGAAATTCTTTAAGACACTGTCTGGTGTCCTGGACATCCCTGGATATCTATATTAAAATCCTAAATGACCACAACAGAAAAAAAAATTGGGTTGGAAAATAATGTGTTTGCTTGTCAGCTTCTGGTACTTGAACAGACTGAAATCACGCGCTCCCCTTGCTTCACACGTAAAGTGTCTCCATGGTTACCACTGTAAATGTATGTGGACTTGCGTCAATAGATTTAGGTGTGAGTGTGAATTCAACACCCACCACAGGCTCACTCACCATGTTTATAGGACTGCTGGTCAGGTCTCTCTCTGTGACCAGTCGATCCTGGTCGGTGACGTACAGGCCTTTCTGGGCCAGGGCCTGGATGACGGCGTTGTGTCCCAGTAAAGGTTTGACGGCATCGCTGCGTAGGATGAGACTCCCAGCCCGGCAGTAAAGCTCAGCTGACTGGAGCAGACAGGCCACAGGAGGCTTCAGGTGCTCCTGGTTGTACTGGTCCCTGTAGAAAGGCTCGGCTAGCTCCTCTGGTACTGCGTCTGAGAAACAGGAGAGGAATTAATGGTAAATGGCCTGTACAGTTGTCTGGTGTTTTTCTAGACTTGATAACATCACATCATGTTTGTTATTATTTATAATTGCCCCAACTACCAGAAGCAACATGTTGCTACGTATGTAGACAGTCCAGACTGGGATTTGACCCTTAACCTCTCAGTTGAAAATGTCTCACTCTGTATCTGTCCTAAAAAATCTGAGGCTGTTTTTGACCTTCTCTCTTCCAGTACCAGTGCTTCCAAGACACACAAACATTCTAAAATGTTTCTATATATTTAAGGTCTTTGTGGTTGTTGCTGTGGTTTTCCTACATTATAGCCTGGGAGTCGCCATAACGGCCACAACTAGTTTGGAGCACATGTACAATCACACACTAGAATATAACACGATACAGAACATCAAGGAACACTACAGCAGCTATTAGCAGTCGTTGGTTTAATTAGTGCTGAGTGACCATTTTCACTGTTTTTACAGCCACAATAAATTACACCTGTACTTAAAAGTGTTTTTACAGTATTTTTTTTTTCACAAGCTTTAGCAGCATCATAGAATTCACTTTGGTCTTTTGAAGATTGTTCGTTATCAGTTCCAGGTTTGTTCTTTTTGACTGAATTTTGCTCCTGACACCTCAAGGTTTCCTTCTAAAGTCTTCACCTGTTCATCTGTCAACAAAGTACTTTTGTTAAGCTAGTTTGTTTATTTGTTGTATTAACAATTCCTTGCTGAGAATACATTCACTTGGTGAAACTTGTCCTAGTTTAATTAACACTTTAGTGTGAGTGCACTGCTTAGAAATCTAGTGAGATAAATGGATCTGTGCGTACATCACCACTGTGTGGCACCTTATAATCTCATTGGCTCATCCAGGAAACCTGATTTCAAGACAATAACTGGACACACAGAGACACACACACACCTCTACACATGAAGAAATGTCTTATTGACTTTGTTTTCTTCACTTCTTCACTTCATTATTCTTAACTATTTACTCATTCACTTAGTTTGCATATGTACTGTACGTGTGTGTGTGTGTGTGTGTGTGTGTGTAAGTGATGACACATTTGAAAAACAGCTCATGCTCCAGAGAAGTGTGTTTTCCTGGTGTGTGTGTGTGATGTTATTTCCTCTCTATTCACCTCTGAATCCCTCTTTGGCAAACAAAGGAAACTAAAGTCATCTTTCTTTAAGAAACATATATTTGTGTTGTTAAGTATCACAACTGTGGAATCACAACAACCTCGGAAAGCTTTAGGATTAGAACAATTGTTTATATAACATTAATTAAGTGTGTGATCAAATCTCATGTATTTCCTGTGTCTGCAGTGAAAACAGGCTGTGGCCTGAAGAACTCTACGCCTGAATCAAAGTCTTACAATGGTTAGAGTTAGCCACATCTTTTTATGGGGATTAATGTTAACAAAAAAACCCAAAACTTTCTAGTAAAAGTTCTGAGTGTGGCATGGGTTAGTAAAAATCAGCCTTGTCAAGCAAAAACCGCTCCTTTGTACTGGCCACCAAAAAGGAAAGCAGACAGGAAGTAGCTGCCGCAGGAAGTCCAGGCATGATGAAGATTGCTTCCCAGTAGACCCTCAGGACCCCGGCTCAGCAAAAACAAGCTCAAAAGCACTGTTGTCAAAAACACATTCAGGTTATTCTGTGTGGTACGTGTAGCTTTAAGAAGAATGCACTTCCATTGCATCTGGAAAATATATTCTTGGAACTACCTTTTTAATATTCATGAGTTGAATTCATTCAGATGCCCACACCTACAGCATGGGCATCTGAATGAATGAGCTGAATGGAAATTGAACATGGGAGAGCGTGGTTGGCTTCACTGCATTCACCTAGAACTAGTGCTGCACCAACTGTAGTTTTTGTACAATAGACTTTACAACAGCTTAAAGTTTGGTGCTATAGGTTACAGTGGCTGCATCACTCAGGATTTTCCCTTTGATTTCTCTTCTCTCTTTTGGTTTCTTCTGTCTTTGATGTCTACAGTATACAGTACTGTAGAGCACAGTGTTTGAAGAAACTGGTAGAAATGGGAACTCTTGGTTCAGAGCAGAGCTGGTATTACTCAGTCTTTATGAGAAAAGGCTGCAGAGAGGGCAGAAACAGGTCTGGAAGACATACAGTACATGACGTACAACGTTTAAAGTCTAAACTAGTCACACGAAAACATCTTTGTCCGGAAAGAATGAGTTGTGTGGCGTGCACGTTGGTTGGTTAGTTGGTTAGTTTCATTACGTGACAGCTACAAACTTGGTCATCACCAGTGATTAAAGTTCTATGGTATAAGGGATTTACATAAGGGATTTCTAACTCACTCTGTATGACTATTAACTCTAACTGTGTATGACCAAAAACCTTTCCTTACATCAATGTGCCCCTTGTGGTCAGCTGACTGGAAGTCATTATCCACCCAGAGCAAAGTTAACCCTGAGCATCACCACAGCCTCAAGATCAATCAGTAACGACTTGAGAGAATTATTCATAAGCATTTTCAAACAATTATCACTTTCACGTTCCTTTGCCTCAGCTGTTTTCTTTTTTTAATTTTGTATCTATTGAAGTCATGCACCCTTTCCAAGACAATTACTGAAGGTTAAAGATTGACCTTAGAAGATTAACGTGACCTTAAACATTTCAGTGGAACAAAATCCACCAATCAGTGTCCATGCAGAGGACGAGAAGTAACACATTGTAATGCGTGACTTCATGTGTTGTACAAACAACTCTTAACTAACCTCTGGATTCTATAAGTTTAGAAGCTACAAACCTTTCACGTAAAGGGTTAATTCATCCTTGGACCAAAGTCATCATCCGGACACCCCACCACTTTACACTAAAGGGTGTCGGACTAGACTGGGACAAGGGGTGCTCTCTAGAATGTGCCATCATCAATCAATGTCATGGCAATGTGATTGAAGACCAAAATGGAGCCAGTAGATGGCACTGGTGCCAACATGCAGAGTTGGGGTGAAAGTTTTACAATTAGGTAACCAGTGTAAGAGGTGTACTGTCCACCCAGCACTGGAACTCTGTGCTATACTTAACAGGCCAGCCAGAATGTCAACACAATTGCCTTTTTTCCACTGTGTATTTTGATATATCTTACCCCAGACACAACACTTGTAGCTAGTAACAGTAACTAGCCTCCTTATCTTAACTTAACTTTAAATGTTTTGACCCTGTGATATGTTTTTTCTAGCACAATTAGTGACACAGGACATTGGAGACCCCTATAGGTGAGGGTATTTATATATGTACTGTAAGTATAAACAAATAAATACTTTCCCTTTAAGAGGGGAAAATATTTTTTATTTAATATATATATTTTAAGTGTTACATATCGCCCCATTTTAAATGAGTTCTTATTTACTGTCATTGTCAATCGTGATCATTTTGGCAAAAATAAAATCGGACCGGAAGTTTTCAGGCACCTACCTGAGCCGAAAGCCTTGGCCACCAGCCAGGTCAGGCTGCAGGAGATCTTGGCCCTGGTGAAGTCATAGTGGTCAAAGCTCTTGATGGCAGGGACGATGAAGGTCCGTCTCATTCCGCCGCCCTCTGCCGCATGATCTCCCATCTTCCTTATGTCAGAGACGCCGTCACGCTATAGCTGGAGGAGTATTCAACCGGAGAAACTCCTCCTGACTGCGGATGACATCCCGTCCAGAGGAATCCGACGCAGAAAAAAAATCCCCTTTCCTTGGAAAATTTGAAAAAAAACTTGGTGTGGTTTGATTGTGGACAGCACGACGGTATCCAGGAATAAGGCCTTTGTAGTATCACATGAGTAACGGCTGTAGGGTGATGCTTTGAAAAATATCCCTAACGGTCCAGTTTATAAAGAGTATTTCTGAAGAATTCCTTCTCCATTCCCTGGTATGTTCATCCTCCTCCTCCTTCTCCTCTTGTCCGTCATGACGGAGCGGCTGTAACAGAGCGAGGAGGAGACTGTCTCACGATACGGACGCTCAGCTAAAAAATGAGTAAAGTCCGTCTGTCTCCATGTTTTTGTCCGTCCCTCCCCAAAGACACAGTCCGTCTTTCCCCTTCTGTCTGCGCCGCGTCTCCTCTGCGCTTTTCCTGCCGCACTGACCGGGGGACGACAGGGACTACGCATGCGCCAATACCCGCCTATTCTATTCACTGATAAGAGTCATAGCCAGTTTGTATTAACTGCTGTATAACGGTACAGAGGGAGGAGTGTTCTTCACAGGAACTATCGTCTCCTACATGTTGCTTCCAAATTACATTTAAAAAATGTTCACTTAGAACTTAAATATTGATTAAATGTTATGGCCTTTTATATGTATATATAAGGTTAAGGTTAAAAGGTAACCCCCCCTCTCCAGAAAGCAATTTTATTAATATTAGTCTTCATCTGCAGTGGTCGCCATGTTGGATCCCAAAGTCATTAACTTTATTTACATTTATAAAATTTCAAAGCGTCCGTACTTAAATGGAAATTAAAAGCAACAGATGCAAACGGAATTTGAGATGCGAATGGCAATTCACTATGACAACTACAATGCTAAATTAGGTCAAATGTACATGTAGTTTCAAAATATAGTAGTATCACAAAAAGGCTTTGAGATTCTTAGGGCAGGTAACTCAAAGTACTGAAGTCAAAAGGTCAGCTGTGGTGGATTTTTACCAATGTTGTTGGTCAACTGTCAATGTGTGCCCTAATCTATGGGTAGGATTAATCACTTATTTGTGTTTTATGTTGGACCACTAAAGATTTGACCCACACCTCAACAGAAGTGACTGAAGCCAAGTGAATTCGTAGGTTAGTAGTGTAAACTGTAGTTACCTATATATTCCAGATACCGGCTATGGAATCTATTTCAGACATTTCAATGCGAGCAGACGGTGACACCATTTTCATTCATCCCTCAGGGGAAGTCCTTGCAGCTCTCCATCATCTACACTCTATAAAGTCTTGTCCCTGTGGGCTCCACTTAACTGAACTGACTAAAGTGGAGTGAGTAAAAAAATAATAGACATTTCCTCTGACATGACTCAGATCTTTTCCTTCAGAGTCGAGAATCAACTACCAATAACAATAGCTCCAGCTCAGACTTTAAGCATAAGCTGTGGTTCATTGAAAATGACACATTTCAATACCTTGTTCAGGTGAATGAAAACACGTCTTATATGAAATAGAGATATCATGGTTCATTTATTTGACATACAATAAGTGCATGAACACGTCTGATTGCACACTTATTATTTTTTGATAAGTGAATGTGATTGTTGCTGCAGGACAGTTACTTTATGGTCGCAGTGGTCGAAGAACGGAAGACGAAATTATTTTATAGCGGAAAGTGCTGAAATTGAAATGTGTGTCAACACTTCCCTCTAGCGTCCGTTATGAGTTAATACAGCTGAAGACGTCAGAGACTTGTACCATATTTTGATCGGTGGGTGGCAGTCCACTGCCATATAATTATGAAACGATGTAAAAGAAGGACACGATTGGACGATGTAAAAAGCCAAGTTGTGAAAAGGATAGGACGATAAATAAGGGGAAATTAAGTAAGTTAATGTAACTTAAAATATAAGGAATAAAATGTTTACACTTTAACAGAGAAATGGGCTCTGTTCCCCTGTGCTCTGGCTCTGTGTTGACTTGGGTTATAGAGAAAATAGAAAAGATCACAAATCAGCTTGAAACAGCCAAGGTAAACAAAAATTAAAGCAAAAAAATAAAAATACAGTAATAAAACAAATTTAAAGTCAGCCCAGAAATAACCCATTTTACCAAAAGATACCAGAAAATTTTAAACGGAGAGCCTGCAAATAAAATGTTAATTTTCTCACTTAAAAACCATTTTACTGAGAATTATTCAATATCATAGTGTTATTTGTGCTGTATATTTTGTATTATATTTGTGACATGTGACATATTGACCCCAGTAATTCACGTTTTTACTTTCATCTCAGAAAACCGAATCCTCTCTCTCTGACCCTCCACTGTGTTCCACGGTCATTTGAGAGTCATTACCGATCATAATGTACTGAGCATTTTCAATATGAATGTTGGGTTGTTGCCAAATGGCCTGGCCATCACTGCTCCCTTGTCCTGCTGGGACACTTGGATTGAGAATACATTTTTGTGCCATTGCCAGATTTATGTTATCTCTGATCAGTGACTTGACCATTCTGTGCTCTTTTAAAAACTGTCTTTGACACTGGTTCGATCTCCTTAGTTCATCCTGTCTCTTCTTCTCCCTTTTCACTCTCTGTTCCTCCCTCCAGATTCTCAGTTGTTTTCTAAAGTTGGCAGGAGTCAACACCTTCTTCACCTTGTGCTCAAAGTTTCTATTCTCCTTCAGGTACACTAGTGCGTTGAGGACCATGGGCAGGCTCGTCTCCGGCATGCTGTTCTCCAGCGGCAGCAGAGGGATGACAGTGTTGTGCTTGTATTTGTTGTTAATGGAGTGCATAATGGCGGTATCTGTCTTCATATCCAGCAAACGTGTGTTGTAGTTGCGTGTTAGCAGCAGGAAAGTGAAGGCTGAGTTGCTGATGGCGTCCTCCACACACTGCAGAGTTCTCCTGCCAGGGATGGCGAAGTCCTCGGAGAAAGTTGCACCCTCCAAACCGGTGACCATTTCCATTTTGATTTTCATGCTCTCAGCCACATCGACATCCTCTTGTGCGTGGAGGATGACAAATGCGTAGAATGTTTCCTCTTCCTCATCTTCTGCATCATTGCTTTCGAGCATTCTATCCCCGTCAGGAACCTCGGTTGAGAAGGTGTTTGTCGGAGTAGATGGGACGTCTTTTGGAGCACTGCTCGGTTTAGTGGTCTCAGGCTGAACCATATGGTTGTCCAACTTCCTGTACGCTGCTGCCATTTTAGAGTCTCTCTTTGGCTCAGCAGAATCAACCTGAGATCCATCCAGTAACTGTGAAGACGTTGTAAGGAAAACACTAGAGTTTTGCTCAGCTTTGTCTTGTGTTTCTGGTGACGTTTCATCCTCTTGATATGGGATTGTCGAAGGTATGCTGATTTCTAGATGAGTAGGGTACGAGGGCATTGAGGGAGGAGCCTGTAGAGGGCTAGCGTGATTGAAATCTTTTTCAGATTGCTCAGCAATTCTTAAATTTGTCTGGACTTCATCGGTCCTTTGGTGAGGGTCATGGCAAGAATCAGACTTATGATCTTGCTGAGAACTTATCCTCTCTTCCAACATGGGCCCGCACACGCCTTTAGCTTCCTCTCTGAGCAGGTGATACTGCAGATTCTCACAGTGACTTGTAGTTTGGCTGTCCATGGAAAGAGCTCTCTGGTATGCCAAATTTCTCCTGAGTGGATCACACAGCCTTTGCTCCGACAAAACTTTAAAAATTCGTGCCAGCACTGCTAAAGAATCTCCTGTCAGCTCTTGGAAGGCGCCGCAGCGAACTCCAAATTCTTCTTTGTTGCCTTCACTCATTTTCAAACTTTTAGCCAAGTGCTTGACAAGGCAGCTGTCTTTCAGTGACTGGAGTTTGTTCAGTGCCCGCTCATCTCTGTGGAGAATGGTCAGACACAGGACGTGTATGATGTTCTCCTCCGGAGAGTCGCCCAAGTGAACCATGAGGCTGAGCAGTCGTTCTGGAGGCTCTTTGACTAATATGTCAAAGATGTCTCTCAGCCCTGTCCCTTGGTTTTCCTGTCCGCTGGCCCCCAGGTTTGGTTTAACTTGGAGCTCCATCACAGACTTTTATCTATCTTTAAAGAGATGAAACAAAAGCTTTAGACATGATGTAGAACTTGACCTGGTTTACAGTTTATCAGCAGAGAAATACAGAAATACAGACTCATCTAAGATCCACCCACACATTTTTTTTAATTTTGTCAATGTCAATGACAAATTCAAATATTAACTTTCCATTTCTGTTTTGTTTACAGTTTAAATCAGCAGCGTATAAATCCAATTCAAATACAGGCAACCACTTGAATAATAGAAATGCCATTGTCTACTTAGCATGAAGTTTCGGTTCAAATGGGGAAGTTACACAGACTTGCTGTCTTTGAGTTCACTTTAACCAAAAACTTTTTCTTTCTCTAAACAGGAAGCTCAAAGTGCATAAGTATCAAAGTGAACCTGGAGGCAGAGTTCTTTTTTTGTTAGTTTTTTTTTCGCTAAGGAGATAAGACAACCTTTAACGTACCTGTGCCACTCGTAGGCCTGAGGCAGGTTGAGAGACTTTGGCAGAACATAATGATGATGTCACAGGTTACAAAGTACGGCAGCTTCAAAAGGACAAAATACAAAGGCAGGAAGACACAAACGTACAGTACAATAATTCTGTAAGCGTTGCACTTTGTTTATGAGAACCTGATTAAGGTTAAAAAAAATCAACTTTAAATACTTTACGTAACCTTTTCTCTCAATATTTAAAGGTTTTAATGTTTACAAAGCTTCCAAAAACTGCTTAAAGAACATAATTTAATGTCAAATGTGGAAGTCTTTGCCTCCTCATGCACAATTGACACGAAGTAGAGGGACAGTTTTTGGCTTTTCTCCTTCTCTGCTGTGAGGCAAGTGTATTTTTATCCAAGAAGGAAACCTCTAACCCTGTATTTACCAGGGGTGGGGTCACACCAGCCACAGTGCAAGCCAAGATCTTATCCCAGAATGCAGTGCAGACAGAGAGCCTCAGTGTTCCCGGTGCTGGGTGCAGTGTGATATGTTTACTGTATAACCACTTCTAAAGGATTACAGTAATGCTATAGGAAGCACAGGCTCTCTGCCTTCCTGAAATCTGTCTTTTGTGAGAGTGGTATGTATGTTTCTAGAAGGAAGAATGTATGGCTGTGTCAGTGGTGTTATACGGCACATACCACCACAGACCGCAGCTCTGTTGTTTCAGGCTTTAGACCATTCCGAGGGACTCTTATAGGACAAAGAGGAAGTCAGAAACTGTGAAGGGATTTTCTTTTTTCTTTACAAAAGAAATCGTTTTTTGTTCCATGTAAATCTCCCCCAGTATATACACATATGTAAGCTACAGACCAGACCAGAGGTGTCAACACTTGATACGCTTGGAAGCTGCTATTCAAACGACCAGGCTAAGGTCATCCACCTACATTGAAAACATTAAAATATATTCACTAATATAAACTGAACATACTTTGTAAACATGGACATAATATGTTTGGGGACTGATTAAATGCATGTAGCTGTTTGGCACTATATAAGCTTTGCTCTGTGCGACATACTTATCAGATACCCCTGGGACAAACAATCTGCCAAAACCTTAACTGTCTGTCAGTCTACTGGGCCAATGTCAAAGTCCAAGGGGCCAGTTCTGTCACTACTAGTCCTGGAACTTGGATGACATCTTTAAAGGTTACTTAAATTGTTGTGACATTGGTAACATGTATTAGAAATCTGAAACTATACTTTGTAGTTGGCAACATGTTGCTGTGTCTGACTCGGATTTTCTTCATTTGTTTTAACTTTTATTTGTTCATACCATCGTCAGGTTTTGTCTGACATGTTGTACTTAATTATTGTCCACATTCATGTATTTATCACCTGGCACAAATGGAGTCAGTGTTTTCTGGTGCATGATGCAGTTTAAATATGATGTAATGTCATGTGATTTACTTGTAGTGCTGACTTTGACCACTATGTGGTTCGGTGGCATTTGAATGAGGATGAAAAATCCTTATCCAATAACATTTGATTAAAAATTGCCTCAAAAATGCACTTTAAGTTGATTTGAAGAACAGTTTTGGACATGATTGGACAAACTGGTTGCCAATGTGTCCATCAAACTTAAATTTGATTTGTAAAGTTTGACGTGGTGATCTCCTGGTAATGTCTTGTCCATAATCAGTGCTCAAGCTCATGTTTGACCTGTTTGTCTTTCCTTCTTCTGTAAACACATGTATTTTATTGAACCAAACTAGTTGTTGGACAAATTGTTGCACTTTTCTCTTCCTTCTTAACAAAAACCTTGGTCCCTCACTCTTCATATACATATTATGATTTAAAATACCCTTAGAAAATTATCCTGGCTGTTGCTGGTACACAAGGTGCGCAAATTCCACAGTGACCCACTTTATCTTTGAGATACGGTGGATAAGCCGTGTTCTGGCTGATACGCGCATACTTTACATTTTATAAACCTTTGCAGCGTGCACTGCTGCAAGAAGCGACACAGGGAAACAGCTCACCCTGTAGGATCATCCTGGGTACAGTTATGTAAGCTACTGCCGAACGTCCACTTTTATTGAGGTCAGTCCTTTTATTGGGAGAAACACTGCTAACAGCTGGGTTAGTCAGCCTGGCACTAATTCTGCCTCCACCTTTAGGCCAAATGTGAAGCTGTCACTTCTGCAAATCAGAGCATGCATCGGTTCAGTGAAAACGGTTTCTTTTTTTTCATTATTATTTTGTTTTGTTTCAACGCAAAAGTGGCCAACACTGCCAACTCGGTGTTGTTGTAACGATAAACTGCACAGATGTGTGTGTGTGTGTTGTATCGGTGGACTGTGGCCGTGGGAGAGAGCCCTGAGGGAGACACACAAGGGTCACATATAAGAGGCTTTAGGGCAGACGAGTGAAAAGGAGGCCCTTTCTTGGACAGAGACTACGGATTAGGATGAAAGACATATGAGTGGGGGATGCTCTCTCTTATGTTTCACCCGCTTGCTGCATCTTTCTCTCTCTTACACACACACGCACATATAGGCATTTAGTTTAACTTCTATTTAAAATACATTTTTTAATAACAATGAGAAGATACCAGTTGGGGGCATCGGGGTCTATGAACAGAGGGGCTTATCGATGAGATAACAATATATCAGTAGCTGGAGCCATTGACAAGCCTGAGACCTTGACAGATCGATAGCCTCTTTTCAATTCACTTCTTCAGAGGCACAGAGAGGCCATGCTACATGCTGCTGCTTTCCCAGCCACTCGATTCGTCACACATGCTAAGAGAATTTAACACACTCATTTCTGGCAGGCATATATATATATATATATATATATATATATGCTCCACACACATGTACATGTGAAGGCATACACAGATAGACCATGCTCTGATTCAGTCCACAGTCCACGCCCACAGTTTTGGCTCCATTGAGAGACTGAATGAAGCACCTGCACCTGTGTTTTCACCACATTTCCATCATTGGTCCGCCTAAAAAAACAACACAAAACAGTCCTTAAAATCTTACGCAACGGTGCATTCCTGTTCAGGGAAGATGGACTGGAAGCACGGCTGGACGCAGCCTTCGGTTTCCTACGTGCGCACGGAGCGACTCAGTCCATGCGTGTTATGTGCATCAAAGCACAAACAACCCTGACTTGTTACACACTGAGGCTAGTTTGTGTTGTTGACAAAGCAGACAAACAGATCTGAGTTAATGTGACACCTCACTAGCATTAATTCAGGAGCAAAGGTAAATGAAGCAGGCCGGCGGACATGACAGGGGAGGGCAGTGGGGATGGTAAGACGTGTGTGTGTGTGTGTGTGTGTGTACTGTACCACGCTGGACCATGCTTGGATGAGCATGTAGGCCATGCCAACAACAATGCATTAGACAGCCTCTGGTGATGGGGGATGGACACACACACACACACACTTTACTGCACGTGTACACAAATGCATATATAGACGTAGATTCACATAATAGACGCACACACAGAGCTTCACGCATGCACAGGCATTGACGGTGATGAGGCACAGTGCAGTTTATGCCCATATCAAAAGGAAGTCTTTGATCAGTGTGACAGCGAGGACACTCGCCCCCAAGGAATTAGCCAACTCTTGCCTTGCAAAAGCACATCCACTATACATCAGCCATGTTGTCACTCTCCACACACAGAGGATGTCTGATATTTAGCTTCATTAATATGCTAAATGTATGAATATGATTTGTTCCGGTTCAGTGGCCAGACTAGCCTGTCCAGAGTGGCACGATAATCATAAAAAGTAGGATGTGGGGAAATTTAGATTGCACGTATAATCCTCTCAATTTAATAGGCTGTTAATCTGTACGAGTCATTTACATATGGCCTGCAAAAGCAGCGTTTATTTCTCCATTTAATTACAGCGTCTTACACTGCTGAGGACTGAAGATGTGAGGTTTTTTTCTCTTTCCTAAATCATTGACTTAAATAAATCACAGAGATAATGCTGTTTATGTAAAGTTGTTCTTCCTCATATAAAATTTGCTTACATTATGAAAAACTTTCAAAATATATATAGTGCATCAATAACAGATTTATTATTGTCAACCTAAAGTAAAATTTTATTTTATTTTCTGGCCCCTTGTAGACTATTCTGCATGAGAGAGTCCCAAAGAAAAAAGTATAAATAAAAATACTGTAAATTACCTTAATCTTTAGATTCATTCCATTTTTTAAAATGTATTTTTAAATGTCCTAGTTGTGAGAAAAAATAGATCAGAAAATGCAGCCATGCACAGACATTAAGGAAGAGCATGGTGTCTCTCATCTATATATATATATATATATATATATATATGTAATATATAAGACCTGTATATATATTATATATTTACACACCTAGTGTTACATTCAGAGAAATTGTAACAGAAAAGGAAGTTGTAAATAAATAAATATTTAAAAAAAAATTCAGTAGGCATCAGTTCAAATTCAACTGTGTCCCATTGTGTCCAAAACCAGAGCTGGATCGTGCTGCATGAATGGGGGGAGGGGGGAAGGGGTTGATTTTATAATCTATGTATTACAAATGCCTGGTGTACAGTACAAGTTTGCAGCCGTATTATTGGTATCAATGAATTACGCTGTTTAATCAGACTCAGTCTATTGATTAAGTCTGATTTAAGCAAATATAAGCTTAGACTCAGTCTATTGATTAAGTCTGATTTGAGCAAATATAAGCTTATATATGTCAAGTATATATATATGTATTATTATTGTTATTATTATTATTATTATTTGACCTCCATTTCCTCCTGTGCTACAGGGTACAACAACCATAAAACCAATCCCTTCATTGAGGAATCTCTTGGGATTTTCCTTTTGATAAATTCATATTTTTTAATTAGGGGCCTGTTGGTATAGTACATAAAAGCTGTTCAAGTCATATTTAAGAATTGTAAGTTTGTCTGTGTTGCTCAGTGCTTTTCATATCATTTCTGTAGTCAGACATACATTAGGCGTAGTATAGCACTGGATGAGCAGCAGAGAGGAGGGGAGAGAAATTCAAACCCCAAACAAAAGTCAGAGAATAAATGGACCC